TTAGCAGAAAAATGCAGCAATAACCAAAATTGGCTAAAAATAATAATAGCATACTTAGAAAATATTTCTATCACCTAAATCCTAAGTAACCTTATAAGGTATTTCTCCCGCCTTCTTAGTATGCCTTAGTGAGCGATTCAAGAAATATATGCCAGACAAATCTACAAATAAAAATTATTATTAACTGCTACAGAGAACGGTTAAATGACTGCTAATTTGGCAGTCATTAATGCTGCTAATTTAGCAGTCATTAATGCTGCTAATTTAGCAGTCATTAATGCTGCTAATTTAGCAGTCATTAATGCTGCTAATTACTTTAGCAGTATTAGCAATTCATTCATTCAAATATTTTAAATCTGATTATTGCATAGTTACAGCTAGTAAAGCTCTATGCTCAATTCGCAATGTCTTTCATACACTGCATGACAAAGAAAATTCAGCGCCATGAAAGAGTGAACAGAATGTAATACAAGCGATTTTTATTTCAAAAAAGTAGAACCACTTTTTGAGGAGATACAAGGAGTAGGTACAGATGAAATTAGCGAACAGATAACGTCCGAATGGATGCATGATGATATACTTCCAATCACACTCCACAGTTTGTTCTATGATTAAAGATCGGGCACATTAAGCAAACGACAGCCAATCACATCCCATAAACGATCAAGCGGTGTGAGATCTGGAGATTTAGATGGTCAAGGATGCATCTACGTATCTTGCACAGCTTATCTACTCGTGTGCCATGCACGGTCGGGCAGTACCTTGCGGGAAAAGTGTTTGTTGCAAATGTTCAGGATAAGATAGAGCAATCAGCTGCACCACTTCACACATGTATCTCACGCCGTCACTGTGCCTATGATACGAATCAGAGGTGACAGGCTACACACGGCGATGTCGTCCTAAACCATGATACTGCGTACTCGAGCAGTATGGCACTTAGCAGTTGCAACATGCATGTCGCCTCGAGATTCTTACTCGGTAATTCTCATTGGTGAAACAACGAGATGTGCATTGCCCTGTACCATTACATCGGCCAAGAATCTATCACTTGATACTATTATAATCGGTGGCGTCGATAGTTTTGCATCAGTCTTCATAATGGGCGGCATGACTGCAAGCCACTTTCAGCCAATCGTCTAGAAACTGTTCTTGTTCATATTGGAATATTCAAATCTCCCAATACGCACACTTTCGGATGCATCGATCCAAGCGTGCTGATCTAGATGCACCAGACACCTATTATGATTCTCATTATCTTCATCAACGCATCTTTCTCAAATCCTTTACTCATCTTCTTCAATCCTTTTCCAAATCAAAACGTAGACGCATGTACGAGCGTTTTAACTAATGGAAGAACCAACCAGCCTTTCGTAGACTTAAAACGAAACCCTTCTGATTACTGAAACTGTGTTCGGTATCTTCCAGTCATCTCAAACTACAAGTACCCTCTGAGACAAAAAATCAACAAATTTCGCATTTCTGAACAAATTCCCAATTCCAATTTTAAATTTAAAAGAATGAATGAATGCGAAAAGACGAAACGAATGAATATGAATTGTTGATGATTGTATAATAGAGATTCCAGTTGCCCTTGAATAGTTGGGATCTTTCTGTGGAATCAACAACGATTCTCTTGTTTTAATTGTTTACATTTACTTTTATGAATTTAGCAGTTTAATTACCAAAGACAGTTTAATTAATTACTAATTCCAATTTTTGATTTCCACAATAGTACACATTTACTATTTAAATCTGACTTCACATTTAATAGGAGATAAATTTTTATTTATATATTCTCTATTAAATTAAATTTCGAATCTTAGTAGCGATAGCGCAGGATTTTACTTTTTAAATCCTTTTTAAAATAAATTTTGAAATTAAAAAAATTTTGAAATTTCAAAGTTTTTCTCCTTATATTTCTTTAGAAATGTAGAGTGTACCTTATCTAATAAATCATTCATGCAACGTTTTTTTTTTTTTTTTTTTTTTTTTTTTTTCTTTTTTTTTTTTTTTTTTTTTTTTTTTTTTTTTTTTTTTTTTTTCTTTTTTTTTTTTTTTTTTTTTTTTTTTTTTTTTTTGTTTTTTTTTTTTTTTTTTTTTTTCGCAACCGTTTGTTGTAGACATGTACTTCTATACCTCGAATTACAGGAATGTATTAAACGACGTAAATATTCATGTTTGGGCATTTTCAAATTTAAAGACTTCCATTTTGTAAAAATTATGAAATGCAAATTTTTATACATTCATCCAAACTCCAGAAATTCCGCTTCTAAACGTTTTGCTCGAGTCTGATAATGAGAAGAGAGGAGGAGAATTTAATGTTCTGTGTAACAACTTAAATTCGTCAAACTGACGACGTATCATAATGTTCATTGATGGTGTACGAGTATTGCAGACGGAAGGTAAGTATTCAAATCAGTATCTATAATTCTTTTCATTTATGTTGATATAACTGGGTAAAAATTTACTTATTTTAAACTATTACGCGAAAAATTAAATTAACTTTCTGTATTTCATTTCCTTCTTCATATGTACTATATGTACACTGCGGGAAAAAAAAAAAGTTCGATATCTCCGGTTCTACTGGGCCGACTGACGAAATTTAACCTGCGTTTTTCATGTCTCGAAAGTGTAACTGAGGATATGTATTATATTTATATATAGCATTATTCTAATATCCGTATTTTGACACAAAATCGGACTTTTTCTGAAATAACATACCAACATTATTCTATATTTCGATTCTACGACTCAAATTACGCCAACTAGAAAGTTTTGTAAAAATCGCACGAGTAGTTTCTAAAAAACTAGCTCTCAAAGTTTTAGCTTCTCAATGTTAATTGAGTTTGGTATATCTCTCGTTTTTTTTATTAAGCTTGATTCTTCCTTTCACATTTAGAAATTCAGTTTCATTCCAAATAAAATTCACCCATTTTTTATGATTTATTCTTAAAATTTGTATTTTTAAATAATTTTTATAAATTTTTCAAAAAAAAAAATTTGAATAATAAGCTATAATATTTTTATCATCATCTTAAAGGAGACGTATTTCTAAGCATACCTGCAAAAAATTACAATTTTTTATTCAGAATTTCTGAAGATACATGTGAATTTATGGTACTTTTCCGTTTCGCCGGCGCAAATCTCGCCAAGCAGTCTTTATTGGCGTCAACATACAGTATACACATAAAAAATATTTAAAAAAATGTTAGTTTTAAGAATTCTTTTTTTAAAGGCATAAACATTTTAATATCGCTTAAAATTTTATAAAAAACCGATAAATAAAGACAATAAATTTGTTAAAAAGACATTAATTTAAGAATTTACTACGCTTTCATGGTTCAGCATCCTGATTCGCCGGTTCATATCACGTGACCCCCCAAGCGATCTCATCTCACGTAAACTACTCTCTACAAAAAATCTAATGCTCTCAGTAATTATCTACATTAATTTCAAGTTAAATCTTAATTTGGAACACACAATTTAAATGCAAGAAATATTTCAATTCGTACGAATAGCTTACTCAGAAAATTATGTAAACTGCAGTACTTTACTTCGCTAATGCATTCTCATTAGAATTGATGAATTTAACTCTTGACTTTACATTTTCTATATTTTTTTCGGCTTCGGGTAAGCGCTGTGATTGCATCCTAATTGACTTAATTACCGAAAATGGCCTTGGACATAAAACTGAACTATCTGATAAAAATTCTATGTAATTATATGTCAGTATTGAAAGAAACAATCAATCTGATAAGAAAAAGCTGCGACTTGTTTTGAAAATGAGGCGTAAAAGGTTACCAGCGAGAATATTCCGTTTGGCATCGGTTGCACCATTATTAGCGACTTTATCGCTTGCGCCGGTAAAACGGAAAAGTACCGAATTTATATATTGGCGCGTTTTAAAATTTGGCATATTTGTTGAAAGCGATAAAACATCAGATGTGGTTTAAACGCTTTGCTAAAATTATTTGGAAGTAGAAACGATTTGAATTTTTTCCCGCTCATACACAATGTAAAAAGGTAGAAATGAGGTGCCCTTTTTTCCCGCTCCAGCATAATGGAAGGGAAAGGAAAATTGGTTGCTATATATTAAGAAGTTCGCCAAGTGAATTATTCTTGGCCAAACTGAATTGGCCAAAGAAATTTCGTCATGATAAATTTTTGAATTTCTCCGTAAATTTCGCACCAAATTTTACAAAATTTAATATCTGGACATAATTCGAGTCGTAGAATAGAAATATGGAAAAAAACTGGTATGTTATTTCAGAAAATGTCCGATTTTGTGTCAAAATACCTATGTTAGAAGAATGCCACATATAAATCTAATATATATCCTGAGTCGCGCTTTCGGGACATAAAAAACGCAATTTGAATTTTGTCAATCGGCGCAGCAGAACGGGAGATATAGAAGTGTCTTTGCCCCCCCCCGCAGTGTACATTTCTATGGAAAGGCAAAATTTCCATAAAAAACTAATTTACTAACCAAAATTGCTAAAGTTAGTAGTAATTTTGGTTACATATATATATATATATATACACATACATACACCGTGTCCCACAAAGGTCCTTACCCGGTCTTTATTTTCGTCGCCGTTGCTCACAAAATCATTATGAGATATGATGTGCCTTTAACTTTTATTTATTAATAAATAAAAAATTAAAATAAGGATTGTCCATATCTATTGTTTAAAAAATAACAGCAGCTGTTATGTTTGCTGTAACATCGAGGTTAGTTAAAATTTCGTTCAATAACAGTAAAATTTATTAACATATTTAAATGTGGCTGATTTTGGTTTAATATGGGGAAAAAAACTTTGCATTTTGTATTTTGCATTTTGTATTATTGAAATGCTCTCTACTTCACCGATTTCAGAACAGACAGTTCTCTTTCTCCATTTCTGCAGCTAGTGGATCCGGTCCTAATGTTGAGCTTCTCCGCTTAAATGGACGGAGACAGATGAACAGCTTGTACGGACAAGGAGAAAAAAATTACTCACCATGTAAGCCTGGTACGCATGGTAAAACATTTCTCTCGCTTGGTCCCTGCAAAAGAAAAAAAAGAGGAATAAATCAAAACGCCCTCAATGTAAGATAAAATAATGACAATATAAAGAGAATGCAAACAAAAACAAAATCTAAATGATAACGCAATACTAATTGACAATCCCATTACGAGAACTGAAAGAAGCTTGATTGTATTCTCCAGGTTTGCAGTCCTCGTCTCCTCTCTCATCCCCCAATTTCTGGTAGGACAGCGAATGAACTCAACGGGGAGGAAAAACCTCAAGAGAGAAGACCGAGGAGAACAACAGGAAGAGAATTCGGTAATTAAAGAGAAACACAACAGTTATGGCATTCCACTTTTGTTGGCGTCCGTGGAGGCCGGCAAAAGCAAAACGTTTCAAAAGAGAATGTAACCCGGTAATTGAAAAATCGATGCTTCGAGGACACTGCGACTTGCAGATTGTCAGACTCGCCATGGTGTGGAGAGTAAGAGACGTGGGGAATGGCTGAGTGGGTACCTCGAAACATGCTTTCACATTCGGATACAAAACTGTTCAGTTTCCGGCGAAAACAAAGAAAGAAATTTTATTGAGAAATCTTTTGTACATATTATGAATCCCCTATGCTGAACAGCCGCGCTTCGCTAACACTGCTATTCAAAACATAACTCATATATAATAAGATTTTCTTTTCGCAATAATGAACGTATAAAAGCACGGGTTTACTAACAGAAAGAAAGAATAACGATAGTCTGGACAGCTTACTAATCGGACATATATCAGCAGTCCGCGATACTCCATACTCAGTTCCTAGTCAGAGTCATATTTTCTAATACAGTCAAATTTTTTTAAGTCGTAACCAGAATAACCTGTTAATTCGTTTACTATTTAATAAGGAATTATAGCATGCCCTCGTGCTTTCTCTCGTGGTGTAAGTTGTTACCACGCCCGTTAGATTCATGGTTTGAATCATTGTCGATTTTTCGTGTTCCCGTTTCCAAAAACATCTCATACTCTCTCCAGTGGTGCATGTGGTGGTCGATAACAGGTCATCCGCTGGATTTGGTTCGCTAAGGTTTAATGCTTTTAGGAGGGGAAGTATATAAAGAATTATCACTCCCCCTCGTACGTGCTATCACTGTGTAAAAAGTTAGCACGTCCAGTTGGCAAATGGTAAATATGCGGTTGAAGTACTGAAGAAGACACGATTTTTCATGTTTTTTCTTCCGAAAAAGTCTAGCAGTCTTTAAGTCCCAAATATCTCAATTATTTAGCCACAGACGTTACACCATATTTTTTGCCATTATTATATTTACAAATGAATTCCATTTACTGCATCCCTTTGAGTTGTTCTTTGATTCTATTATTATCATCCTTTATATTAAAACTATTTCCAAAATCCATTCGTTTGACAAGTTTCGGCAAGATATAAGGCAATGAATTCTTTTATTTTTTGCAACTCATCTCCCTCCCAGAAACATCACAAATATTTATAAAAATTAAGGTATGATATGCCCTTAATTTTTATAAATATTTGTGATAACGAATTGTAAAGTTAAGAATGATATCTCTCTTGTACAAAAGATCTTTTTCTCAAACCACTTCCTTAACCTATTAAGTACAAATTTTTAAATATAATTTTGTCTCAAAAATAGGTTCCTTTTAAGCCATAAAGCCATGACTGGGATATTTTTAATAGGAAAAAAAAACGATTGTTGTAAATAATCGTACATAATTTAAAGATCCTCATTTAGGAAACATGGCAAACTACTTTTTCTGCCACTGTAGTAAAGTATTTTATACGTAGTTCAACACTGCATTGATCCCTGTTCCTTTTGCATATGGCTCATGATCTTTGCTCCAAGTAATAAGATGTAAAAAATTCCAAACGAACTACGAATTACATTGAACTGGGGGGGGGGTGAAATACACTAAAGCCATTATAGTGAAATTAAATTCAAATGCATACTTCATGCATATATATATATATATATCAACTTTAAGCAAATATAACCTCATCAGTTGAGCATGCGCGAAAAACTCTCAAATGGTGATAATGGCTGGCAAAGGCTTAACTTAGTTGTTGGGCATCTAGATTGTATATTTTTGTTTGTTTCAACTAAAACGCTGCATATCACAGTATTTCAAAATGAGCTTGTATTTGCAAATATTCAAATTTAAAAATGATTTTAATGTCTTCCATATTGTTTAAAATATGAATTTGATTTACAGATTTTTTTAGATTATAATCTCTTATCTAATTCCATACATACTTTCTCCGTTATACATCGAAAATGTTATAAAAAAGTATGTGTAAGAAAATAAAAAATAACGGCAAAAGGAAGCAGGATTAAAACTTAAGTGCTCGTGAAGACACATCATTAGCAAAAGCAGCTTTTGCTAAGAACCAAAGCTGTATTTTAAAATACTTCTTCGAGATTAATTTTTCCAGCTTGTCAGGACTCGTGTTTCTCATGATTTGCTTTGGAAACATGAATGATCCTGAATAGGAACAGGGAGCTTACTCAAGCTATGTTCACGAAGGTGTGAAGTAGACAACACAAGCAGGAAGGGTATACGAAACCCTTTATTTTCAATACTTTACAGGTATTTCCGAACTTCGGAATACAGAGACCAACCACTTGTGGTCTGAACGTAAGAATATAAAAACTACTAACTAAAACTCTAACTAAAAGCTAACTTTGAATTAGTATACAAATGTCTAGCATTAAGACTGGCCTTTACTTTAAAAAGGTACGTATGTAGTACGCCGAGCTGCTAAACTACTCGTGTTTCTCATGATTTGCTTTGGAAACATGAATGATCCTGAATAGGAACAGGGAGCTTACTCAAGCTATGTTCACGAAGGTGTGAAGTAGACAACACAAGCAGGAAGGGTATACGAAACCCTTTATTTTCAATACTTTACAGGTATTTCCGAACTTCGGAATACAGAGACCAACCACTTGTGGTCTGAACGTAAGAATATAAAAACTACTAACTAAAACTCTAACTAAAAGCTAACTTTGAATTAGTATACAAATGTCTAGCATTAAGACTGGCCTTTACTTTAAAAAGGTACGTATGTAGTACGCCGAGCTGCTAAAACTACGATACGTTTGCAAATATCAAGAGGGCTAAACCTCTGGCCTTAAAGGCAACCAGCAACAGAGTGAAAACTCGTAAAACTACAGTGGCAAGCGGCTTGCTTCCTATAACTCCTTCTCTCTCTCGCTTGGAAAAAAGCCACAACTTAAGTACTTGGGCGTTAGCAAGACAATTTGCATAAACAAGTTAAAGCATTTAATTCTGGCCGGAAGTAGAAAATAAGAAGTGATAGTACAGTTTTAAAATAAAATAAACGTTAGTAAAACTTATGATCCTTACAAGCTTACGAGGAAATCTTAACTATCTACCTAAAACTTTTTTAACTCAACTTAGTGCGGCCATTATTAATAAGTTCCAAAAGTGAAATATTACTGAAGTTTGATTGCGTATAAGATTGATGAAAACACTTCCCTTCGATAGCACTGCAGTGGCATGTATGGCTAGTACTATATCTGGGGAAAGCAAATATAAAAGCCGTGATCCACTGCACTAGGAGTTCAAGTATAATATGTGGTTGGGACACATCACTAGAACTAACGGACCAAACTATATCAATCCTTTTCTTGGTTGTGGAGACAACAACGGCGTGCAAATTTATGGCAATACAACTTCGCAACGTCCTTAAAATTAACTATCGTACTGCAAGATAATGCAATTTTGCCTGAAACCACGGCTATGCCAAACAGTAACTGCCATTACGGTGGAAGGGTGGGGTAGTTTTACGCCAAGGCAGAGTTATGCAAATGGGGTTTAACTAGCAAAGCAAATGAAAATTTTACTCTATACCGGAGCTTCCGTATAAAGATGGCCGCGCCTTTATAAAGGTTGGTTTTTGCACGTTAGAAACTTATCTTTATAAGAATGAAGCCCTCTTTACCGATGAGCGTCTTTTTGAACGTTTTCATATTTTCGAATATTTCGAAGCTAATTTGCATAAAAAGTGCCGGGAAATTTATGACAGGGCACCATTAAAAAACCTATCCCCCTAATCAACTATTAAATCTCTATAATCATGATTGTTCTAATCCAGGATCATCCAAATTTTGTAAAAAATTATTTTCATGACCAGATTGTTTTAATACTATTTTTTAGAGCTCCAGTAAAAATGTTTATGGCTTATTAGTTAATAAACAAAACAATACGGTTATAACAGAGCTTAAATTGCACCGGTACTTCAAAGTTTCTGAGATAAATTGTGATTTTCACCGGAGCCCTAAATAAGAAGGCTTCGGCACTTCTTTTGTGTAACTGAACCGCAGTTTCAGCAGAAAATACTTTAAATCTAGAAAATGTTATTTAAATATCGATTCTAACATTAAATGCATACCTGTCTTTCCCTGGGAAATAAATCTTATGACGGAGGTTGAGACTTTTAAGGAAAGAAAAGCCCCTACCCACATGTCAAAGATTTATTGTCCAAGAAGTGCAATGAATTTACGACAGAGCGTAAATTTTCTGTTCCCGAAATGTTCACTCTGGTAGCGCATGTTCAATGTTAACAACTTCCCACGGAAAAAAACACCTGCAGATTTTTTTGAAACAATGTAACCAAACAAAGGGCACAAAAACTGTCACTTGTAGAGAACGCTATGTTTATTCTCAGCTTGCAGATCTACTCTCGTCTTCGGGAATTTTTCCCCCCTCCTGGCACATTCTGCTTGACATTATATAGGTCAAGGACCGTGGTCAAAATGTGGTGGCGTCTTCCCTCCTTGTTTTCGTACTTGTACATCTCCATTAAAATTTCCTTCCACATTTGCATATTGTTTCTATAATTCTCTGTATCGTTAATGGTGGTTCAAGCGCTTTATCTTTTTTCATTAGTATTCTGGGAAAATAATTCTTTTGTTTATATTGTTACGAAATGTAAAAGCGCGGTAAGATGGCTTCCCCGCAAAGCAGTTTTAGGGTTGCCATAAAATGGCAAGTGAA